AAGAGTGAATGCACAAAGAAAAGATCCTTCAACCAAATCTCAATCAAGGTAAGACAATTAGCTCCTTAAACAATAAAAACAAACAAAAAGAAAGAAAAAGCTTAGTCTCCTAAGATTCCCTAAACTCTAATGCTAGCAAAACAAGCAATCACATAGAACCACCAAATTCCAATCCCCGGCAACGGCGCCAATTTTTTATTGTAGCAAAAATAAGATGTGAGCTCGGGTGTGTTATGTCGTCCTTAGGGGATTGGGGGATATGGCACGCAATATGCAATCACAATAAACTAGACACTAGCATAAGGAAATCAACAAGAAGCTAAGCAAACTACAAGTTTAAGGAAATGATAAGACTAACACATATATACACAAAGATAAACACAAAATAGAGAAATAGGACTCTATCTAGGGAGCATTATCATCTAGATGCTATAACAACCTAAGGGATTAGGGAGAACAAGTAACCAAGGAATCAAGCGGGAATGCACGTAGGTATCCTAGTCTACGAACCATTCTCGTGATTAATAAACAAGGATTAGAACAAGGAATTGTCCCACTCTCGTGGTGAATCAATTCCAAGTCCATCAAGCACACAAAGTATCTAAAGTCCCTAATTTCCCCTATTTTCGTAGGAATAAATCTGGTCTATGCAAGGAATGGCTTGGATTCATCACCCACCCAACTCTCGTTGAGGCAAGGAATCCTCCAAAAACAAGCTAATGAATGTGTACTGATAAACATTATTTTTAGTGTTATTTTTAATAATATTTTTATAGTTAATTTACAATAATTGATTAATTATATACATATTTTTATTTATTATTGTTATTAGTATTCTTTGTTAATATTATATTTAATTTTAGGTTGCATTCAAAAAAAAATATTTAATTTTAGGTTGTTTTACTTATTAAATTTGTTTTATTATTTGATTTCTGTTAGTCTTATAGTTCTTGATCCTAATTTCTTATAATAATATTAATTTTAGTAGTACATGATCAGTAGGAGTTTTTTTTTTTTTTTTTTGAAAATGATCAGTAGGAGTTTAATAAAGGTAGATTAGTTATATATGGTCTCTAATAAGTTTTATTATTATTATTATTATTATTATTATTGAGAAAGGAGCCGCGAGAAATAAGATCTTCAACAAATCCAGTCTTTGAGTGATCCGAATAAAACGTTGAGCGGAAGAGCAACCAATAATTAACACAATTTTAGTGAGCAGTCCGGAATAAGCTGTTGGTCTAGGGAGTATAAATTGAGGCCAATTCAGAGAAGACATCATGAATCTTACCCCGGATCAATTCCGGAGGTGCGAACAGAAGAGAAAAATCGAGGTCCGCGGCAGCTTCAATTCCGGGCGGTGGCTTCATTCGGCACAAATTAATTATTTGGTGGCAGCAGCTTAGCAATTTTCACACGGCAATTCATCACTCCCTTTGCTCTTTATAATTGTTTATTTACTCTAATCATTGGTTGTAGTTGTTAAGTGTTGGTAGATTAAATCTTGCGAGTTTGTTGGGAGATTAAATCTTGTGAGTTAGTTGCTGTTAATCCCATAATGCATTGCTAATTAAATTTGCTTGAGAACATGATCTAATTTCTATGAACATTTCGCATTAACTTGAGTTTTAATATTGCCTATTAATTATGTTTTATCTAATAATGATTTTATTGAGATTAGTTGAGTTGAATTGATCAATCTATTCCGAGTTACGTTAATCTAGCCTTTATTCCCTAGTTGTTTTGTTTTGTGGTTAATTTATTATTATTTTTTTTCTATCTTTATTTTTGCATGCGTTTCCGTTTAGTTTAATCCATGTTGATTGTCGTTTAGTTTAATCTATTTATTATTCTGTTTTCTGGTTTCTGAGTTTTGTTATTTTTGGCATTTGATTCAGTACTTTACATTATCAAGTCAATTAATTTAAGTTTAAGTTATTAAATTGCATATTATCAATTCCTCTTGGGTTCGACCCTTGCCTTTGCACACTACCACTACACTGACTCGTGCACTTGCGAGGACATTATATATTAAAATTGTCCAACATGTACATCAAACATTAACAAGATATAAATACAAAACCTTCACAAACACATGAACCCTAGGTTGAAGTTCTTCCCCTTTTTTGCAATAATCACAAATCAAGCATCAAGATAGATAATACAACCCTAACTCAAGTCCATAAATTAACTACTCATGATTAAATAGCATAAAGAACACAAAAGCATAAGTAACAAATATAAATCTTGCAAAAGAAAGAGATAAAAGGAAGTAAGAACTTACGTATTGAAAATGGAAGAACAATCCTCAAATGTTGGAATTCAAGCTTCAACTCCAAGATTACAAGCTTCAAAAGTGTTAAGAAACATAAATCTAAGCATAATCTAACCTAAAAATATGAAGGAGAATGAAAGAGAGAGGCTAGGGCTCAACCATGGGTCAAAGCCAAATAGAAATGACCAAAATCAAACTTTAAAAAAAGGCAGAGCACAGTGACACGGCCAAGGACATGGCCATATCCTTGGCCGTGTCCAAAACGGCAGTAGCTACTGGAATGCACAGAAATTACACGGCCACTGACACGGCCGTGTACTTGGCCGTGTTTTTTGGCTTTCAAAAAATTATAATTGGGAACTATGGTCTTCATAAAAGTTGTATCCCTTCAAGTATTCTTTCCAATGGCGCAAGAATCACTTCATTTGAACATTCCTAGGCCGAGATATGGTCAAATTACCAAACAGTGGTCTGTTTTGGACTGTAAGTTTGGGACTTCAACTTCAAGGACAAATTTGACCACCGTGTATTCCTTTTTAGGCTTTTATGTATTTATAAGAATTGTATCCCTTTGATTCATATTTCCAATGGAACAAGAATCACTTAATTTAGATACTTCTAGACCGAGATATGGCCCGAAAACTGAACAGTGGCCAATCCATGCGAGAATTTCAGCTTGTTGACACTTGTTCCACTTTTGCCTTGGTTTAATTTGTCCATATGATCAACACCATTGAAAACATCACTCTTTGGCTCCTTTGGAAGTGTTGCATCCATCTCCTTAGCTTCACCTTGGCTCCCCTTGACTCCAAATGCATCCAACATGATCTAAAATCCTTCATTTCTACTCAAAGATAATGAATTGTGCATAAAGGATCAAATGAGCAAAATAAAGATGATTTTGAACAACATTGTGACACTTCATAAGAAAAACAAGGCTAAATATGGGATAGACATGGGGAATAAATATGAACAATTATGCACTTATCAGCAACCCGCAACCAATGAGACTCATAGCTGGTTTCCGTGAAGAGGTCGAAACTAGCGGGTTAAAGGATTTCAACTTTGATGGCTACCAATTCACTTGGGAGCGTTCAAAAGGCACCCCTCTTTGGTTGGAGGCAAAACTTGATAGGATTTTGGTGACAGGCGCATGGTGTGACCTATTCCCTAATGCTAAAGCCTCATCGATCACCATTGCCAAAGGCGACCACATGCATCTTCATCTTCAATTTCTCTCACTGGTAATTCCTAAATTTAGAGATGGTTTCCGTTTTGAGAACTTGCTGCTCCGCGAAGCACACTGCAGAGAGATTATGCTTCAGACTTGGTCTTCTACGTATGGTCAAAATCTAATTGATAGAGTTGTGAGATGCAGCAAGGCCATTTGGATTTGGGGAAAATAGTTCACAAGAAATTTCCAACGTCGGCTTGACTACTGGAGCAGGCAAATGGTCATATTGAAACACAGATAAGACCAATCTGGAATTTCTCGATTTAAAGAAGTGCAGTCACAGTACCTACAGGTCCTTCAACACCAAAACAACTATTGGAGGCAACGAGCTACGCAGTTCTGGTTACGTGATGGTGATACAAATTCTAGCTTCTTCCACAAAGCTGTTAGACGGAGACAACAAGCAAACCGCATCATGAAACTCAAGAACAATGAAGGAACTTGGATTGAAAGAGGTACCCAACTGGACTTTTTAATTACTTCATATTATCATGATCTCTTCAGTTCTAATGTGGGTAATATGAATTCTATGATTGATTGCATTACTCCTGTTATCGTTGTTATTCAAAATACAACTCTGTGCAAAAATGTTACTCTCCAAGAAGTTAAAGCTGCCCTATTTGACATGAAACCTGAAAAATCCCCTGGCCCCGTTGGTTTAAACCCAGGATTTTACCAACACTTTTGGGACATTCTTGATAAAGATTTCCTGGAATTCTGCTCAGACTTCTTCAAAACAGGGCACCTTCCACCTAACCTCAATTCAACAGATATTGTGCTCATACCCAAAATATCCAAACCTGAGTGTATGAATGACCTTAGGCTGATTGCTCTATGCAACACACTGTACAAGTTGCTTTCAAAGATTCTTGCAAACCGTATTATGCCTCTCCTCACTTCTATTGTGTCTGAATCCCAATCCGCTTTTGTCCCGGGCCGCTTGATCTCAGATAATATCATGCTAGCCTATGAAATCAACCATTATCTAAAAAGGAAAAACCAAGGAAAGTTGGGGTTTGTGGGAGTGAAATTGGACATGAACAAAGCTTTTGATAAGGTCAATTGGGGTTTCCTTCTTGCAGTCTTATCCAACCTGGGCTTCTCGAGTCACATTGTCAACTTGATTCGCCAAATGATCTCCACGGTCAACTATAATATCCTGTTGGAAGGAAGAGTTATTGGTTTTGTTACTCCCAAAAAAGGTTTGAGACAAGGAGACCCCCTAACACCATATTTATTTATCCTTGTCCTTGAAATCTTCCACCCAATGCTTCAAAATGCACAAATGGTTCCCTCCACGGCATCACCATTGCTAGAGGAGCTCCCACTATCACTAACATGTTCTTTGCCGATGACTGTTACATTTTTTGTAGAGCTATAAACTCTGAAGCCACTGTCCTAAAAAATACCATTGAACACTTTGCCAATTCCTCGGGTCAAATTGTGAACTACAACAAATCAACCCTCACCTTCAGTAAAAACACCACTGTGATGGCTAAGAATGATTTTTGCAATATATTGGGCATGAGAGAGGGAACTTTGAATGGAAATTACCTTGGTCTCCCTTCAGTAATCGGGAGGAACAAACGTGAAATCCTTGGGTTTATCAAAGATAAAGTACTTGGTAGAAGCAACAGTTTGACCCACAAGTTTCTACCAAGAGCATGGAGGGAAGTTCTTCTAAAGAATGTCATTCAGGCCATCCCTTCCTTTGCGATGAGTGTTTTCCTCCTTCCAATTGAAATGGGTAAGGACATTGAAAAGATCATGAACAGCTTTTGGTGGGGTGGCGTTGGTGAAAATCACAAGGGTATAAGATGGAAAAGCTGGGATAGATTAAGTGTCCCTAAACGTTGGGGTGTCATGGGCTTCAGAAAAATACGGGAATTTAATCTTGCTATGCTGGAAAAACAAGCTTGGCGCCTTATTGATCATTCGAGCTCCCTTCTATCCAGAACATATAAGGCTAAATATTATCCTAATTGCACTTTTTTGGAAGCTCAACTTGGTAGCAATCCTTCTTTCGTTTGGTGTAGCATTCATGAAGTTCAACCTATTCTTCAAAGGGGTTGTAGGTAGAGAGTGGGGAATGGTGAGTCAATTAACATTTGGACTGATCCTTGGCTCCCAAATAAACACCAGCCTTACATTCAATCTCCAATCTCTACTGATTTTGGTGATTCCAAAGTTGCTGCACTTATTCATCCAGCAGGTTCTTCATGGAATATTCCCCTCATCACTTCCCTTTTCAATCAAGAAGACATGAACCTTATCACAAGCATCCCTCTATCTAACACAAGGCTCAACGATAAAATTATTTGGATGGAAGATGAGAAAGGAAAATATACGGTTCGAAGCTTCTACAAAACCCTCACGGATGATCATGATTTCGATCAGGCACCATTCTGGACTAGGTTCTAGACTTTTAATCTCCCTCCCAAGATAAAAACATTTTTCTGGCAGCTTTGTTCTTCATCCCTACCCACATGTGATAGACTTAGAGCAAAACATGTTAACATTCCGGGAGTTTGCCAATTATGCAATATTGATGAAGAATCTTATTTTCACCTATTTGTTCAATGCCCCTTCGCGAGAAGCTGCTGGGATATGTTTGGTGGTGTCGACTATGTTTCTAGCAACAATCTTCTTGACTGGCTTGAGTCTATTTTTACTACAAAGAATGATAATGATATTTGTGGCATAATCTCTACTTGTTGGAAATTTTGGGAAGTCAGAAATGATAAAGTCTAGAATCACAAAACTGGCACTGCCTCCTATGTTTGTCAATCTGCAAATATTTTCCTAAATGAATGGTCTTTAGCTAACCTGAATGCTTATGCTGATGTCAGGATTACAGAGGTTGTTACTCACTGGAAAAAAAGCCTCATACTGGTATGCTTAAAATCAATGTTGACGCGACATTGGACACCAACAACAAGAAAATGGGATTTGGTTATGTCATTCGGGACTCTACCGGTCATTTCCTTTATGCCAGATGTCTCCCTTGGCCCAGTATTTTCAGGCCAAACGAAGCAGAGGCGATTGGCATTCGCGAAGCATTGACATGGATCAAAGATTCTAACCTTGACAACATCCAAGTAGAGAGTGGCTGCCTTCTGCTTGTTAATGGCATCATACATGGACATGATACTTTCTCTTCTTTTGATCTCATTATTTCTGATATTAGAGAAATAGCTAGTGATTTTGATAACATTAGCTTTTTGTTTGCTAAACGGTCCACGAACAGGGTTGCCCATTTGTTAGCACGGGAAGCCCTGCCTATGTATGGCTATATGGACTTCTCAATGATCCCTTTCCCTTCCATTGCTCAGGTTTTGAGCTTGGATATTAGTTAATGCATTTTGATCGTTTAAGTTTCAAAAAAAAAAAAAAAAACTTATTACCACATATGACATTTTATAAACCACAATTTAACTTGCAAAATAAATACCACAATTTGATATCAATCACAAACTAACACACATTATAATTTTATCAAGGTAAAATATCTTATGAGACTGTCTCATGGATCCTCATTCGAGACTGTCTCTCAGATCCTCATCCGTGAAATGGGTAAGGTTTTTCATAAGTATTACACTTTCCTTTATAAGTATTACAATTTTTTTTTTTTTTTGCATAAATAACCCTTAAACCGTTAATATTACATTTTAATTTAAAAGTATTACATTTTTCATCAAAAATATCACATTTTTCCTCATAAGTATTACACTTTCTATCATAAGTAACAATCAATCAATTTATCAATGATTAATATTACATTTATTTCTCATAAGTAACTATTCAATCCTCAAAAATATTACATTTTTCATCATAAATAACAAACAATTTATTCATGAATAGTATTACATTTTTCAACATAAGTATTACAGAGTACATTTTTATATTGATCTGACATGTTTCATGAATAAAGATATGTGATACTGTATCATATGGAACTCACTTATTTATCAAATACATAATTTATAATCTCAAAGGAAAAAAACTATGGTATATAAATTTGGTTTTAAAAATACATTTCAAATATTGGTGGTAAACTAGATCATTCAAAGTGATTTGAACTAATTGGAAAAATTATAGCCAAGACAATCATGCGTTTTTTTTTTTTTTTTAAATAATTTCATTCCAATTTTAAACTTAAAAAATAAATAAAAATTTTACTTTTCAATTTTTAACTCCAAGACAATCATGCGTTTTTTTTTTTTTTTTTTTTTTTTTTTTTTTTAATTTCATTCCAATTTTAAACTTAAAAAATATATAAAATTTTTACTTTTCAATTTTTAACTCCTCAAAAGTTGTGAACCGTTTGCTCCCATGATAAATGTTAATAAAATATGTTACAAAACAGTTATCTTTTATCCCTCTACATGGAAACAAAGCATTTGTCTAAGTAGTTGTTCAGTCATTCTTCAAGGATAGATAGAGTATGAACTAACATTTAAAATAGTTGTTTAAATGTTATACTCATTGAAGTGAAGATTGAACCAACAAAGAAGATTATTCGAATAGATGTTAAAGACAGTTATTCAGTTAAGATTTTTGTGGATCGACTACTTAATCAGCAGAACAAAGTATTTATAGAGAAAATCAAATACACTTTTGAGAGAGTTTTTTTACCTAAATTGAATGACTTGATAATTCTTCATGAGTTGATAAAAGATTCCTACATCAAGTCAATCATCAATTTGTTATTGATCACGAATTGTTCAGTCACATGAGTTATTGAGGACGACCAGACGTCGACTTCTCCAATGGAGAAGGCGACTGCTGGTCACCTTCACCGGCAGAAGGCGACTGGTGACTAGTGGTATCCTTCCGCCGGAGTTGGCGACCGGCGACGGTTCGGCCATCGTCGGTCACTGGATTTTCGTCGAAATAAAAAAAGACCTGCAATTGCAGGTCATTTACCTGTTCTTGGACCTAATTCCCTCAATATGACATGTTTAAGGGTGTAATTGAACTTTTTTAAAGTTTAAGGGCCTAATTGACTTTTGAGGTAATGTTTAGGAGTGTGTTTGACCCCTCTCTCTCTCTCTCTCTCACTCTCTCTCTCTCTCTCTCTCTCTCTCTCTCTCTCTATATATATATATATATATATATATATATATATATATATATATATATCACATTTATGATTTAGCATATCGTCATAATAGAGTAGATGTGTGGATTTAATTTTTGTGTATTTTAAAATATGTTATAAAATGTATTAACGATGAAATGTTTTAATATATTGTTGGGAAAAATGACACCCTCCTCCCCAGAGTTATTCATGTATTCACATTTGTCCCTAAGTTATGCTAAAAGTGAAGATTCCCCCCCCCCCCCTCCCTCCCCCCCTTATGTTATATGGGCATTTTTACCCTTAAAAATAACTATTTCATTTATTTTTCTTCTCCAACAAATTATTGCTTATATGTGTGGATGACCACGGTGTGGTTCGAACCTAACCGTACACTGTAGCAGCCGAACCAAAAACAATGTGAACAATTCTAGTTATGATTCAGAACTGGAAAAAAATAAAATAAAATAAATAATTGTTGAATTTTATACTATTTTAAAAATTAGAAATAGAATTTATAAAAATAAATAAATAAAATTTGAATTGGTGGTTCAAACCGAAACTGGAACCTTTATAAAAAGTTCCCATTATGATTTATCATTTCCAAGAACTGTGAATCGAAACCGAACCGCAGACATATCTACTTATATGTGAAATTAGAATAAATGTAAAAATGATCAAACACTATTGGTAAATGATAAATCGATTCAATTTGATTCAAATTTCAATTTTGCATCGCCGGATCAAAATTTATTTATTTATTTTTGTAAATTTTATTTATTATTTTAAAAATATTCTAAATTTAACAATTATTTTATTTTATTTTATTTCGGTTCTAAATCGTAACCAAATCCGTCCTTACTATTTCAGTTTGATTGTTACAGTGTCCGGTTAGGTTCGAATCAAACCGTACTTATCCTACATATAAGCAATAAGTTTGTGGAGAAAAAGAAATAAATGAAATACTTATTTTTAAGGGTAAACATGTCCATTTAATAATAAATGGAAAAAAAACCGTCACTTTTAACATAACTGAGGGGCAAATGTGGATACATGAATAACTTAGTGAGAAAAATGCTATAAGCATATAACTCGGGGCGAAAAAGTGTCATTTTCTCTATATTGTTTCATATTATCTATTTAGAGCAAATACTACTTTTGGTCCCACGAGTATTAGTAAAATGACAATTTTGGTCCACATGTTTAATTTATACAAATTTTCATCCACGACTATTGTTTTAGTGCCAAAATTCATCACGCCGGTCACCCCTTGGTAGACATGCCGAAATATGAAATTATTAAGGGTATTTTTATCCTTTCCAAATTAAGATCCCAATTTGAGCATGAATATATAAAGGGATTTAAGCCCTAAGATCGATTCCAATTCACAATTGTGCTCCTCAAATTAAGGTAAGATGAGGATGAGAACTGCGAATTATGAACAATTTCAAAAAAAAAAATATATTTTCTCTCTCTCTATTTAAACTCTATTTTTCTCCTATTTAAACTTTATTATAAAACATTATACCTAAATTCAATAAATTATTTTTTCTTTATTATCCTATATTTTCTTCATACCTAAACTCTCCAATTTTTCTCGCTCCTAAACTTTACAATCCCCCTCTACAAAGTTGAAATAATACTATTTTTACTTCATTATTGTTTGTATATTTGATTTTTTTTTCTACAAACTTTTTATCCCTAACTTCTAAATTTTCTCTATTAACTTTGATCCCTAACTTCTAAATTCTTTCTATGAATTTTTTCTCCCTAAATACATGAACAAAGCAAATTTTTTATCTATCACCGTCAAATTTTACTATATGTTTCATAATATTCATATACAGTAGCACCTTGTTGCTGTTCGCAGTCTCAAATTGCTATTGCAAATAATAGCTCTTTGCTTGATGCCTAGCAGTAAATCAAGTATAATTATATATTATTAATATTATATTTTAAAATATTTTTATTTTATGAACTAGTAATTATATTTTTAAATATTTTTATTTGAACAATTCTATTACTATAAATTTTAGTGTTCAATATTGTTATGAATTTCTTATGAAATAGTTTTTTTTTTTATGCTTATTAATACTATATAAGTAATTAACATATAAGTCTCACAATACTAGGGATAAAAATAATAATGTTGATGTGGGTGAAGAACTATATACTTAATAAGAAGAATAGTTTGTAAAGATGTATTCAATTAGAATTTCAATGACTTTTGAAGACTTTTTAAAATAAAAAAAATTGATAATTTTATGAATATTTTTTATATAGACTTTTATGGAGTCTTACAAAATTTTAAAAAGTTTTGAACGATTTTATGAAAGTCAATCAAAGTTTATTAAAATAAACCATTCTAAAAGTATTTAAAAGTCTACAAAAGTCATGATTGAATACACTCCTTATCCATTTATGAGATATTTAAATAGAGAAATACTTTTCAAAGAATTGGGGGCCCAAAAATTGTTTAAAAAATATTTAAATATCAGGATTTTTATTAAATAATAATAGATTGTGTTAAGTATAAAACGGAAAAAATGTTAAAAGTCTAGTAAGGTTTCAAAATAAGATAATATTCTAAACTCCTTAGGTTTTACTAAACAAAGTTTATAACTTATTTATATTTAATAAAATAAATTATAAAATCTAAAATAAAGGAACAAACTTTTTTTTTTTAAAAATAATTCTTATTATTATTATTTTTTAAAAAAATTCTATCCTCTCATTCTCTATTGACCCGGCCAAAACCACTCCTACATTGTAGGGGGAAGGGCATTCCTGGCTTCTCATTTTCATCATCAGCGAGTATAAAAATCTAAACCGATGATTGCAAATTCATCAATTGTTTTTGAAGCAATAGTTTCATACACTTCTCTCTCTCTCTCTCTCAAACTAAAATCGTCCAAGAAATTCTAATCAAAAAATCTCAAAGATGTCGTGGCAAACATATGTTGATGAGCACCTCATGTGCGACATTGAGGGCAACAAGCTCAGCGCCGCCGCTATCCTCGGCCTCGATGGCAGCGTTTGGGCCCAGAGCGCCAATTTCCCTCAGGTTTTTTTCTTAGCATCTACTATCATCGTCGTTTTAAAAATTTGGTATCTTTGTTTATGATCTGCATATCTGTGACATTGTTGGATGCTTAATTGATCAGAGTTTTCAAGTTTGTTTTCATTATTTGGCACATCTGATCTAATCTGAAGGATCACAAATGGCTGAATCAATTAATGTTCTTGGCATTGTAGATAAGCCCAGCGGAAATCACTTCTATCTTGAAGGATTTTGATGAGCCCGGGTCTCTCGCTCCCACTGGCATGCACATTAGTGGTGCAAAATACATGGTGATTCAAGGCGAGCCAGGCGTGGTTGTTCGAGGCAAGAAGGTATTATAACCTCCTCATCTAAGACACTTTTTACTTTGAACAAACCAAAATCTTGGTTTTTGACATGTTGTGATTATGAATGATTCAGGGGCCTGGTGGCATTTGCATCAAGAAGACTACCCAGTGCTTGCTGTTTGGGCTATATGATGAGCCAATGACTCCAGGCCAGTGCAACCTGGTTGTTGAAAGGCTTGGTGATTACCTGGTTGATCAGGGCTTTTAAGTATTCTGGTATTGCTCCAATAATGGCTCCTCCATGCTGCTGAGAAGTCTAGTAGTGATAGGGTTTTCATAATAATGTCTTTCCTTCTCCCTTGGGAGAGTTGTTTTTTCATGTTTTGGGTTGTTTCGTTGCAGTGAATTTGATTACACTGCTTATTAGGTTCTTGGGTCTGTGAAACTTTTCAAGTTTCCCTTTTTTTGTTATTTTATAATCTCAGTTTGTAATTGGGGAGCTGTATCTAAATTCCAAATAAACAAGTTTGTTATAAACTATTCTTTAATCTATCTGGATGTTTGCATTTCTGGCTTCCTTTCCTCTTCATCTTTTCTTGATTGCTAACACTCACGAAATCTTTTCTCTATTTAAAAAGTGAAATAAAGCTAAAGGAGGCCTAACTTAGACAGCTGAGTTTGTGGGATACCCTTTCTTTTTTTGCTTTTATCAAATGGGACACCCTAAATAAATAATTCCTTGATACAATTTACAAATACAAATTAAATAACTTAACAGAAATATATTATTATTATTATTATGAATTATAATATAAACAATTTCAAAAGCCAGATGAACCAAAGTTTAATTAGTTGGTCTGGAAATAATAATAATGGAAAAAAGAAACTTACAACCCACAAAGGCTTCGTTACACTGATTAAATCTATTGTCATTTTAAGAGTTGAATGGAGTAATTAATAAGTACATTGCCTATACATATATTGCAGACCACACAGACTTTGTCCCTTTTGAGTAACACTATCCCCTGTGAGGGAGCCAGGGAGGCTTTTGACAATTTCTCAAATTTCAATGTTAATCAATTGTTTAACTTTTAAAGTAATTTGTGTATTCTCACAAAATAAAAGGTAATTTGTGATTTTTTTTTTTAAGGTAATTTGTGGATGAAGTGGTATCTCTTTTTCTAAAGAACAAAATTTAATGCATTAATTCAGAAGAAATACAATCAACAAAAAAAAGGGAGGATTATTAACCTAAAGTAATTTGTGAATGAGATGATATCTCTTTAAAGTAATTTGTGAATGAGATTTGTTATGTTCATAAAAATAGTCTAAAAAATTCATATTATAAGTTGATTTTAAGAGATGATTTAATTTTTTTTATTCAATTAATTAATGTGATATCATAGGTATGATGATATTAGGTTATGTAGTCCTTTTATGTGGATCATTGTAAAGCTTTTTTTTGATGGGCAATAATTATTTATATGAGTCATCTTTAGAAAATATTTTTCAAAAGGCCCTTTTTTTTTTTTTTTTTTGCTAAAATTATTATATGACCTAATTCATTTAATAATTGGATTTTTGGAGTTATCAAGTTATTAGCATAGGATTTCTGTTTTTTAACCATGTGAATGAATACTTTTGGGAGCAATATGATCTAATGAAGCGTGTAAATCTTATTGGAGTTGTATTATGAATTTAAATAATAATCACTTATTGATTAAGAATATAAAAATTACACTTATAAATATATAAATTTTAAAGTGTAAAAATATTACATTAATTAAAATTTAATCACAATTGAGAATCGTTATGCTATGGACCCGTGTCCAGCATGCATTGTGGACACGGGTAACAGTGCCGTTAGTGGCACTGTCATCTTTCACTTTTTTTTTTTTTTTTTTTTTTTTTTTTTTAATTTCAGACCGCTTCGTTATGGGAGTATATGTTCATAATTTTATCACTATATGTTCATAATTGTAAGTTCATAATGTCAGAACTCTGTGTTCATAATTCCATAACTGTACATTCATACTTCCATAATTGTACATTCATAATTCCGTAACTGTACATTCATAATTCAATAACTATAACTTCACAATTTTCGAAGCTCTATGTTCACAATTTTAGAGCTCTATGTTCATAATTTTATCACTATATGTTCATATTGTAAGTTCATAATGTCAGAGCTCTGTGTTCATAATTGCATAACTGTACATTCATAATTGCGTAACTGTACATTCATAATTCAATAACTGTAAAATCATAATTTTCGAAGCTTCATGTTCACAATTTTAGAGCTCTATGATCATAATTTTATCATTATATGTTCATAATGTTAGAGCTCTGTGTTCATAATTTTATAACTTACATTCATAATTGCATAACTGTATATTCATAATTTCATAACTGTACATTCATAATGGCACAAACAAATAACGCCGTTAACGGCGAGACAAAATCAATTTAAAAAAAAAAAAAAAACTAGAATGACACATTTTCTCTAAAAACGACGTCGTTTTGGACTCGTGTCCACAATGTATTGTGGACACGGGTCCAGGGCATAATTTGCCCACAATTGAGCCATGGGCTCACTTTTAATAAAATTCCAAAAGGGATAAAAATTAAAGTTAAATGATTCAACTGCAACGTTTAAAACGAGAGGAGGTCCAAGTGCTAATGTAGAAACTTTCCAGGACCAAAGTGTAATTATCCCAAATTACCGTTGACGTTCGGATCATTTCTGGCGCTTCCCAGCTATTCAAAATTCAATTCATTGAATCCGCTTATTTACTGAGTTTTTGAGTAACCCTAGCCTACTGCCTCCGTCGCCGGTCACGCTCCAGCCGGCAGCCGCCTCCATCACCATCGCCGATCACGCTCCAGGCTTCCAGCCGCTTCCATCGACCATCGCAGTTGGTCGCAGTCGGCAGTCGCAGGCTTCTTCGGTCGCCGGTCCAATGAAGCGTCCAGACTCCCATTGGCAGTCGTAGGCCTCCATCTTCACAGGTAAGTGTCTATATACTAATATACTGTGTATACATTGTGTCTATATACTGAGAATTTGTGGAATACTGTGTATTAGTGTATACTGTTTCTATATACTGTGAATTTGTGGAATATACTGTGTCTAACTGTCTATATACTGTGAATTTGTGGAATATATTGTGTCTATGTACTGTGAATTTGTGGTATACTGTGTATTAGTGTATACTGTGAATTTGTGGAATATACTGTATTTATATACTGTGAATTTGTGGAATATACTGTGTCTGTCTATATACAGGGGATGGGGATTCCCCTTCCCCGTGGGGACGAGGACGTGGAATTGTTTCAATTCCCCGTCGGGGACGGGATACTCTCCGTCCCATCCTGCCTCGTTGCCATCCCTAACTCCATTCGAACACCAGGCCAGTGCAACCTGGTTGTTGAAAGGATTGGTGATTACCTGGATGATCAGGGTTTTTAATTGTTTTGGTATTGCTCCAATGATGGGTCCATGCTGCTGAGAAGTCAAGTAGTGGTAGATGCTACTTTTTTCTGGTTTTTCAATGTCTTTCCTTCTCCCTTGGGAGAGTTGTTTTCATGTTTTGGGTTGGTTGCAGTGAATTTGATTGCACTGCTTATTAGATTCTTGGGTCTATGAAACTTTTCAATTTGATTGTTTCCCCTTTTTTATTATTTTATAATCTCAGTTTGGAATGGGTGAGCTGTATCCAAATTCCAAATAAACAAGTTTGTTAATAGACTATATCTTTAATCTTATCCCAAAAGGCTGAATTCTCAATCCTAAGGGTCCCCACACTTCGACCCGACAGAGCATGTGGGAGGATGTAAATCACGGTGACTCAATGAATTAGTAGACAGGTCCAAATGCCGGTGCGCACAAGGAATCTGTCCACTTTAGACTATATCTTTTATCTATCTGGATGATTGCATTTCTGGCTTTCTTTTCTCCATCTTTTCTTCAATGCTAACTCTCAAGAAATCCTTTCTTTATTTAAAAAGTGAAATAAAGCTGAAGGGGGCCTAAATTAGACAGCTGAGTTTGTGGGATAGCCTGTTTTTTTTTTTTTTTTTTTTTTTTTTTGCTTTTATCAAATGGGACACCCTAAATAAATAATTCCTTGATACAATTTACATATACAAATTAAATAATTTAACAGAAATATATTATTATTATTATTATTATTATTATTATTATTATTATTATTATTATTATTATTATTATTATTATTATTATTATATAAACAATTTCAAAAGTCTGAACCAAAGTTTAACAATCATTATTGCATGGACTATGGTCCCAAATAAAAAGTACATTTTTAATATACTAAGGGTACATTATTTATGTACATAAGGTACATTTTTTGAAAAGTATATTTTTAATATACTAAGGGTACATTTACAATATATATATAATGTATCTTCAGTACAAAAATAATGTACCTTTAGTATAAAAATAATATACATTCAGTACAAAAATAATGTACTTTTAATATATTAAAAATGTTCTTAATATTCATGGTCCACACAATAATTTGCCAAAGTTTAATTAGTTCATTTGGAAATTAAAAAAAGAAGAAGAATGTTTTGGCCAGTGGGACACTTACAGACCTCTCAGACTTGGTCCCTTTTGAGTAACACTTTCCCGGTATCGCCTATGAGGGAGGTTTTTGACAATTTCTCAAAAAAAAAAAAAAAAAAAAAAAAAAAAAGACTTGCTATATAGTCTAAAAAAAAATCCGTAATTCCGTATTATAAGTTGGTTTTAAGAGATGACTTATTATTTTTTTTAATTTTTTTTTTAATTCAATGAATGTAAATCATTATAAAACTATAAGTTGGATTATTGCAAGGTCATTTCCAAGAAGGCGTCATATCACTTAATCACCAAAAATTTGGCGTAAAGAGACAAAAAAAGGCTCCAATGGGATGACAAAACACCAAATAATTTGGTGTTGATGAATCGTGCCGCGCCAAGCATTGTTCATCCACGTCATTTTTTGGACTACTTTCTTCTTCTTATTTTACCCCTGCTTTGCCCTTTATCTTCTTTTATAATTCCTTTTGTATCTTTTTTGGTTTTTATATATTTACAAATTTTGTTAAATATTTAAACATAAATTGTATATTATTTTAAAAAATTATATCATTTGAAAGATTTCATCAAGACGATTAAAATAGGGTTAATATTTAATATAATTTAATTAAAAATAAAATTACATAAAACATAATTAAAATTTAATTTATTAAATTAAATTACAACTATATGTTATATTAAAATAATAAAAGTATAAATATAAACTTATTTATAAGAATATAAATTATTTTAGTGTAGGAATAAAATTTGGTATAGAATTTGATCTAAATGGGTTGGAGATGAAAAAAAATTTGGTGTAAGAATATGCTAGAAATATTCTTTAAAATTTGGAGCCGAATTTAATTTTTGGGTTGGAGATGGTCTAAAGGTTTTTTTTTTTTTTTTTTGAGGGGCAATATTTTTTTAATGAGTCATTTTTATTTTGAGAAAATATTTTTCAAAATGTTATAGTTTGGCCTATCA